ACGTTTGAAAACAGTTACAATTTTAATTACTTTTTTGGGGAAAAAGTGAAATATGAATTGATTTTGCATTTTGTATCATTCTCTTTACTGTCATCAAGTGTTAGAGGATGTTTCCAGGCTGTTTAACCAGCATTGCTGATTTCAGTCCTGCATGCATATGTTATTTCCTTAAGCATAATTGTTCAGATGCATGGTTTTACGAGGGAACGTTGTCCCAAAACTTGGTAGACAATGTTTACAACCTTGTAGGCGTCCATTCAATAGTAACCAAATTTTGCATGGCCAAAACGTATTCATTTTTCCCTCAAATAGTGAGTTTATTATTTAATACATTTCATAGTGATATGTGTAACATCTGTATTATGACTATTTATAGGAAGGCCGATACGGTCTGTAGGCGCACGAACATAATTCGGATTTACATATGTTACTACGTTCCAGTTGCAATAGTTCTTATAGTAATATATTGAACATAAAATTTGAATTTATATCAGTGAAACTAGAAACAAAATTTAAATATTATGTCAAATTTTCACGTAAATAGCATCAGAGACAAAGGGTTGGTATTATCTTAATTTTCCAAGTGTTGTTGGGATAAAGTTTGCTGCAAGTGATGTTGTAAACGCGTTAGCGGGGCACAGAAATGTAATAAAAATGGTTGAAATGTGAAAGAGATACAGCTTTAATATACGGGGTTTTTTGTAAAGATAATGGGATTAAGTGTAAGATAGACGTGTATGTACGTCAAATTTGCTACGTGCATCAGTCTACACTTATTGTATGTGTTATTTTCGCGAAATATGATATTCTTGCTCACAAAAAATATTGCAATTTCCTATAGCGAGAAATGAAATTTAATTTAGCTAAGAAAAATATTTTTATGTCCCCGTAATGGGAGATTTAAAGGTACATGTATATAATATCTGCACAGTCTGTTCGTCTGTCTATCTGTCTGTTTGTCCACAAAAGCTTTGACCTTGCCTTTAACTTTTGAGAGGGTAGGCTAGGGATTTCCAAGTGTATTCCATGTGATATTTGACCCTTTGACCTTGGATTTTGACCAACTTTTACAAAAAATTACCAAACTTTAACCTTGGCCATAACTTTGATTTGCTTGGATTTCATACTTCCATGTGTATTCATTGTGACAATACCTTTTAACTGGGAACATGTATAATTATTTTTGACTTTTTGACATTGACCTTAAAGTTTGACATACTTTAAGAAAGCTCTAAATACTGCAAGGTAAAAAAGATATATTTAAAGTGTAGTTTTATGCACTTAGAGCGATCTCCCCTTAGAAGTAGGTTATTTACAGTTTATTGCACTTTTTGTAATAGATTGAAATATTATTGGCATTATATTAGACCAAGAATAAGTAAATGAATTCATTTTTTCTATTTATTTTCCCTATGTGACTAAACAACATTGACTTCTGTTCACGAATAGTCTTTTGTCTTTGAACAGTTTTCATAATGAAATAAGGCAGGTACCCTTTGTTGAAATTTAACAAATAGTCCCAGTATTCACACCCATATAAGTTATCTTTTTTTAAAGACAAAAAAGCACCAGTGTTTAGAGAGCTTCCTTAGAAACTTGTTTAAACATTTTGCACAGATGAAGCAAAATTAATTTTTTTCAAAAATATAAGCGTTTTGTCTTATTGTGTCTTTTGACCATCATGTTAATTTCAATTTATCACAATGCATACTACTGGTATACATGTAGCAATAAATACCTTTTTAAGTTACATTTTAACCCTAACTCTGAACAGTATGATATCATTGAATAGGAAGCTTTGATCCCATAACACTCTAATGAAAAGCCATTAATTTCTAAACTTACGCAGTGGATGTGTTCGAACAAATACCTATCTTATTCCCTAAGAACGGATTTATTGCTTTTAAGAAAACAATAAAGATAAAATAATTTTTCATAACAAACATAGATAAAACAAAACTGATACGTTTAATGATCATGAATATCAAAGTATTTTTATCTGGAATGCTAAAAAAACCAACCCATCGTAGAAGTACAGGAATGTGTTTTATTGACTTGTCCTACTTGTACTAGAGATATTTTTAAGTTATGTATAATTAGCGAAAGCAAAAAAGCAAGAAAACTTTCTCCCATGATCATAACATTTGGAAGCAGTGACTATTCGGATGAAATTGCCTATTTTCAGGGAGAAAAGTGTAATATATTAATATACATTATTATAACAGAAACACGATCCGAATGGTCGAACTACTTTTTGTTGACAGTCGCAGATCATAAGGTAAACTCGAGTTTGATATAATTATCTGCGCCTGTCAACTTGACGTGATCCGGCTCTTCGCATCAAGTTACTGTTATAAATAAATTTATTATAAACCCCCTTCAACTAGCAAAATATACTAAAAGAAAAGTTTTAGATCCATTATATTTATATAACTTTTATCCATTAAACAAAGCAATTTAATATCAAGGGCGATAAAACAAAAACGCCAAGAATTCCGCGTACAAGTCGTCATAAAGTTCACCGAGGGATGATGGTTATTGGTATCACAATGGGATCACAGTGTAAATGGAATGAATTAAAGTGGTAAAGGAGAATTGTGAGATATTGAAATAAGATTTTTTGATATAGGTACTTCATGTACATGCATGTACATGTATTTACCTTTCAGGAACAATCGTTTATATTTCAAATATTATATAAATGTGAATTTTTCGTAAAGAAAATGAAAGCAGTTAAGCAATAAGGTAAAAAAAATAAACAACCAGAAATTTAACTTAGATCGCATTTAAATCCTTTAAAGAACTATTTGACATGCAAACTTGTACTTTTAATGTGGGGAAAAGGTTTGAAGCACTACGGAATTGATTAAAGCAAGAAATAAGTTGTTTTTGGCAATTTGAAACATTTTCCCACGATTACGTATATATGTAGAATTCGGGACATTTCAGGAAATATACAAATTTATATAATAAAGCATTGCTCTTATACAAATAACTTTCAAAAATATCTAATAAATCGTATCACAACGAGCTTACTTTGTGATCGGTAGGTCGTGAGTTCGAATCTCGGCCGTGACTGACCTAAGTCGATAAAAAATGGGTAGCAACTGTTCCTTTGCCATGCACTCAGCACTTGAAGTGAAAGTAGCTGATCCTTCAGATGAGACCTTAACAACTGAGGCCCCGGGTTGTGACAGGCCCTAATTGGTATGATAAAGATCCCTCACTGCTCGATGGCCCTAAGTGCAGAGTAAAGGTCAAAATGTGAAGCCCTTCACCCGTATATGGTGACGTCTCTACATGAGTAAAATATTATCGAATGGGACGTGAAACATTGTACAGTCGATCAATAAAAACCAGAACCACCAATTAAATCCCCCAAACAAAGGTCTGTATATTTTATATAATTCTATTGATTGATTGTATGTTATTTTACGTCTTCCTCGAGAATTTTCCACTCATATGTACATTGTGGATGCCATTACTTGACAGTGGAGAGTTACAAATTTACGAATGCCCTATATTCGGCACTCAGGGCCATTGAAAAATGAGGCATCTTTTTTGTGCCAGCACCTACTGCAACAAGGGACTTCGGTTTATACGGTTTCATCCGTAGGACCGGTCTCCTCGTCCCACAGTTGAATTTGAACCCCGCGACGTAAGGATCAACTCCTTACTTCGCGACTCTAGGTTATAAAGACACTATAACCACTGCTCCACGCGGGCGACTCAATAGATGAAGCTTACCTTCAATGAAACAAACTGTATATAGGTATGGATTTTGAAAAATAAAAACCTTCATCGGACATTTTCCACGAGAATACGATATGCAAGGCATTGAACTGAAGAGCTTTGAAAGAAAAAAATCTAGCAGAATGAATGGAATGTTTGAGGCAAATTTTAAGATAAAATACCAGTCCCATGGAACACTACCGAAAGAAATACAATCACATTTTAGAAATATTGATTTAATGTAGGGCCAGGAAATATTGATATATTGGCTACTTGCTTCTTAGATGCAATAATTTTTTACCATGAACATGTATGTTGCACAAGTACATTTAGAGGAAAAAGATGTGGATCCCACCTGAAATGCCCCTCAGTGTGCCGAAGTTACTAAAATTTAGTACGGTTATACATGATTAAGCATGTTTTTTGATTCGTTATAACCAATTCAAGAAGAATTTGGTTATAACGAATTCAACAAATCTGTAATAACAGATTAAATTCGTTATAACGAATTCAATAAATCTGTAGTAACAAATTAAATTCGTTATAACGAATTCAATGAATCTGTTATAACAAATTAAATTCGTTAAAACGAATAATTCAATGAATCTGTTATAACAAAATAAATTCGTTATAACGAATTCAATAAATCTGTTATAACAAATTAAATTCGTTATAACGAATTCTAAAAATCGTTATAACGAATTCAAAAATATGTTTTGATAGGTCCTAAAGGGGCTTCCGTAGACACATCTGTTTTATATTTGAATATTGTATTAGAGAAGACGTCAGTAGTAACCTTATGATGTTTTATGATAAACGATGATGACTATTTTCAATCAGTAATGTAGCGATATACACATAATTATGTACCATTATCAATTGCTGATGGAATTTATATCCTTCAGTTGATTCGATAAGCAACAGCATGCTCTACGTACATATGTATAAACACTTTCTAAAACGAGATACGCTATTCGCAAACAAGTTGATGAAGAAGGATATCAACAGTCTTGCTTGAAGTCATCATTTCGCAAGTTTTAGGGTCGATACAATGATCTTGTCAGCAGATACAACTTATCATTAAGTCAAACGCTGACTGATATAATCATCCTAATTGTTACGCCATTATTAGCACTGCATTGACTACGGATTTTTACGTTTTTCCCGACTAAGTTAATAAGCACGCGGGGATGTGACGCTTCGGCAGGAGATGCTCACTCCTCCTAGGCACCCGATCCCAACCTCTAATGTTTTGGGGTCTTCGTGTTTGCTCTGTTCCCTGTCTGCATTGTTTAATTGGACTTTGATCTTTAATACTCTTCGTTATCACCGTATTTTATCATTATAATCTTTATTGCCACATGCATTGTAAACATTCAATAAATTAAGCATTCTACGTGTTCAAGAGATCCTTTCTGATTTTTAAGGTTAAAGTATCATAAGGTTCCAAATCCACAGAATATTCATTTTCGTTATTCAAACCATGTCGTTTCTGATGGTTCACCACTGGTTCATTTCCTCTTCCATGATAATTAGTTAAATTTTGCAGCTGTGTATCTGCGGCTGATTTTGCTGTTTCTATAGAAGACAAACAATCATTGGGAATTCTGTAAATATGAAATGAAAATGTACATTACAAATAATACAAATATTTAACTCTCCCAGCTTGAATAAATTAAGGAATGTTACCTTCATCTTGATCTCGTTTTGATGAACGTTTCCTGTTAAAAATCAATTGTAAACTTATAAAATTTAATACTAGTAAATGTAATAGAGTTTGTCAAATAAACATTTCAACAGGATAATGCATGATTGTTTTTTTAGCGTAAGGGCAATTACTGAACCTATTTGTTTGCATTTAATTATATTTTAAGATATGTCAGTACTTATATTCGTTGTATAAAGATAAAACAACTTTTTGAAAATCTTATTTCCGCTTTTCTTTCAAAAGGGAACAAAATCAATTTGAAAAAAACTTCCGTGATCGTTTTATTGCTTGAAGTGGAATATGTATAGTTACATGTATTTAAGGAATGTTTTGTGTGAGATATTGGTGTGTGAATCACACAGACTTGTCACGTAGGCATATTTCATGAAGCGCGCTAGCGCGCTTCATGAAAAATATGCCTACGTGCAAGTCTGTGAGATTCACACACCAATAATTCACACTAAACTTAAAAACATTCCTTATATTTACATTTTACATGTTTGGAAGCACCAAAAATATAAGTACAATATTTGAATTTCTCGCTGCCCTATATCGTTATACTTTTACTAACGTCGCTGTAGCATTATTGTGACGTCACGTTAAAGCACGTTTCTCCGTGTATATTTCTACGCCTGAGTATACACAAAAATGGTATTCAAATCAATTTCACAGTTGGCTTAGTAGAAAAACACAGCGAATGTAAATATTTGGCATTGATTCAAAGTTAAGTTAATAGAACTAGTATTAACCAACCTATGTAGACAGAAAATAATCATTAAAACTGTAAATCCAACGCCGCAGCTACCACACACCGATATTGTTATAGTCAACCAATTAATAACATTTCCATTTCCGTGGCTATCAGGCAAATCTATTCATAAGTACAAAAATACGAAAGAGAATTAAAGAATTACATAAAAGGACACAGTGAGTCAAAATCATGTCTTTCTTTTAAGATATCTGTAGCATACATAGAAAGACTTATGAAAATAATGAGTATATAGCTAAAATATGACAATTAAACTGAAAGAAAAAACTGCACGATATAAGTCATAATAAGTGCCTGAAAAACAAAGGTTGTATCTACCGTTTCGTTGTTTTCGTGTTTGTCAAGGTCACGCCACTTTTATTTTTAGCTCAAACATGTAAACAACATTCAACTTGGAGCATGGAAAGGTGAGAAATATGTTCTAACAAAGTTTTAAAAAGATTGCCTCTAAATTTTTGGTCTACTTACATTCTTTCCTGGGCACTTGAGACCATGGTAACTATGGAAACTTATTCAACTTTTCTGCGCACGCGTACAATGAGGTGGAAGAAGTATTGAGTAATATTTTCTGTCTGGGTTATACTAAAATTATTTTGACTTTTATTTTTCTCCTTAAAAATAGAATTTTTAGGTTTTGAAACCTGTAATTTTCTGAAACCTAATACTTTTAGGAATTGAACAAAATTAACAAGGGTCAAGCAAAAATTCTACACTTGTCAATTTTTCCCCTTTGTGCGTCACAATGCCGCTTTAAAGTTAGATAAAACACAGCTCGAAAAATAGCGGGCTTCTTCGGATTCGGAATCGAGAAAGAAACAGAATTTTTAAATGTAAACTTAATTGATAAAAATATATACATGTATAAAGTCAATCAATAATAATATTTATTAATTAATTTAATTTTTGGAAATTCATTAGGACATGAACTACGAAGCTTCGTGCTTAGTTAGCGCTTCGAGATAAATAATTATAGGGGTAAATCGTTCTTGTTTATGTATCTAATTAATTATCAAAAATAAAATTCATTTCTTATACTTTCATCGTTTTACTTGTGCTTTGTCACACATTTTTGTCACTCAACGAATTTTTGTAAAAGAACTTGCACTTTTTTTTTGCTCTAGTTACATCACAATGGAATTATTCTTAATCATCATACGGTAGTTAATGAGAACATGATCTTTTATATAGTAATCAAAGAAACGTGCGTACGGGGAAATAATTGGGAATGTTAACATTACATGTTTAATTCCGTCTTATTTTCACTGGCTTGTGACCATATAATAACATGGATATATTTCTTTTGATAGAATTGATTTTAATGTTGCAAATAGTAAACGTTTAGCTTTACAAATTAAAAAAATAAACATTATAAACATGAAACAAATTAAAATGTATCAGAGATGCAATCGGATATAACGTGATGTAGAAGTAAGCATTAAATGATTACATGTACATCAAGAACGAGCCTTTGTATTGTATATCGAGTACAATATTTATAAAAAATAATTGTGCCTAATCCATAATGATTATACTAACTCTACTGATGTTTTGAGTGTTAGTGAATGGTACAAGATAAAATATTTTTGTTTCTTCAAGATTTGTGAAATGGCAGATAACTTGCAACTGAAAAGTTAAAATATCATACTAGTACTTGTTGTTACAGTACATCCTCTTACTGGGTTACATGAGGTGCAGAGATCAGGACAGGGCATCAGGCACAACCTTCCATAAAAACCGCGAGGGCATGGTTCACAGTTATTTCCATATGTTCCTGGCCAACATTCTTTAAACAAGTAAAGGTTTTAAAATTGAATATTTGTACAGCTCAACGCACTTTTTAAACTCGCACAAATTAAGGTCACATTGTTATAATGCAAAATTGTGTAACGTGAAAACAAAATATATTTTATAAATGATTTATAACTTAATTTTGATCATATTCCATTACTTTAAACAAAATTCACACATAATAATTGGTAAGAATTTTATATGCTCTTGGATGATATATTGTGAGTGTTTCCAAATGGTTTTTTTCAAGGTTTCTCGTCAAATACAATCGTCTTTGTATCCGTTCATTTTAAAGCATACTTCTGCCTTGCCTTAATACAGAAACAGTGCGGTTCATGTAAATTTTGTGTTTTCTGTACACTAATATGATACTAAGGCGCAATATGTGATAGAAGTATTTCTCATCCGTTCCACTGCTTTCCATGTTAAAAAGATGGCATTTTTTCAGGTTTACTTTCTGAAATCTGGCATCACGAAAGATACCTTCCAACGCAAAATTTCAAAGTTTCAGACCATAAATCTAAAAGAATTTTCTTTTCAACACTTACAATTTACTATGTTAAACATAAACAATACTTTATTATCCTGTCCTTTCACATGATATCTTTATGCAGTTTTGTCATTTTCGGCGCAGCATTTCGACAAAACCAAGACAAGTATGGAAAATATGCAAAGTACCTAGAAAAATGCTCATTTGTAAGAAGTCAATTTGAAAATTTCAACCAAATAGTATCAAAGATAGTTCGATTAATTAAGTTGTAACTACCTACGATAGAATCATACAATTTATAGAAAAAAAAATCCCTTTTAGAACGTTGACTTTTAAAACTTACGATAATGATTTTAGCGAATATGCACTTTAAGCATGAAATGTTGAATAATGTAAGAGTTATGTATCGTACTGAAACTCGATAATTTTAAGTTTTATTGCCAAAAAAATGACCTTAATTTATGCAAAAAACCATGTGAGTTTAAAAAGTGCGTTGAGCTGTATACTTTAATTAAATAGCTTATTTTGAAACTGTCAATAACACATTATAAAATAAATGAATGATGAAATAACTTTGAAAATGCAAGAATTGCCACGATATCAGCAAAACGTTGTGGTTTTAAATCAAAAGTTATTATATACATCAAACATCATACCTACACAACTTTCACCAACTTTGCGAAAGTTTGCACAGCATCTCAATAGTTCTCTGTAGCAAAAAGGAACAATGCGTACAATATTTGTACATGAAATAAATAGTACTTAAAGTCAAAGCACATTTTATCAAAATCATTACAAAATAAATTACTTTTTGGCAAGTTACGTTTATAATTACATGTACCAAGAAAAAAGCAAACAAACAAACAAAAACTATATTAATATCTGGATCATTCTAATTACATATGCCAACGTCATATGCATGTGAAATTAATTGTTGTTTGTAATATCAAACCTCGTCAAGCCATTTTTTATTTGCAGCTATATTTTTCATTACTTGGCATTTCATTTTTCACTTCATGTTTGTCGCACCAGATACATTTCGCCCACTTTATTCGCCCATTTTAGATTTTAGAATATATATAAAATCTATTTTACCTAAATACAATGTCACTTCTTTTTTTGCATTTAATTGTCTCTTTGGGCATTGTGCTAACATCAATGGGGACTAATCACAATATATAAACTATACATGTAAAATCCATGTGAATCTACATGATGAATCCAAAACAACCTTTTAAAACACATTTTTAAAATTTTTAAATACTTACCCAATGGATGAATTCGAACAAACATTTGTTGTATTTCCTAAAAGAAGATTTAAAGTTTTTGATAGAACAATCAGAATAAAAAAGCATTTCATAATTAGCAGAAATGCGTAACAAATTTCCACTGTACTCATAAAAATAAAAGTCTTTTTAATGTGCAATTTAGAAAAATCGTAGATGTTTGTACAGGATCTACTTGCCATAACTTATATATAATTGACTTGTTTTAAAGGTATAATTAATTGCGGAAATCACAAACTTTAGAATAAATTTCCCTTCCTAAAGTTTGGACGTACTTATTATCTGAGTACTTAAGAACAATTATATATTTTCAGGAAAAGCTTAGTAATAAATGTTAATTAAACCAATTTGACACTATACGAGTCCTACAGGTGATCAAAACGTCCGCGCATTCTCTGTGTCTAAGAATTACAAAACGATAATTAAAAGTACGTTGCCGAAAAGCAACAGAGCTATGATCAGTTAAAGAATGTATAAAGTGTTCAATGTCTAATCTTAAAAATGATATATTTAATTACCTGTATTTGGCCTCTGTCCCTATCCCGATGCTGGCGAAACAAAATGAAAGTCAACTTCAAATGAGATTGAAGACAGTGCAAAGAGCGTCTGACCAATTTTTTAAGCAATCACCCAATGCAAAAACAAGAATTATAGCTATGCATTCTCATTTGCCATCTGTATTTATTATATTTAAATGGAAAAATTATAATGGTGAGTAGTGCACTCAAAGATATCTATACATTCAATGAATAATACCTTAATAAACAACACAATCTGTATAAAAAAAATTATAAATTAAATCTGGATCACGTAATTATGTTCCCCAAACGAAGTTGGGGAACATATTGTTTTTACTCTGTTTCTTATTATTATTATTATTATTATTATTATTCTTTTTTCTTCTTATTTCTTCTCCGGTACTTTTTTGTCCGGAAGTGTTCTCAGAAACTGTTCACCAAATTAAGTTAAAACCTTTTTAGGGTTAGTAAGCATGTTGTGTAGATGTGCCGAACGAAGGTCATTTTGCGCGCATTCGCATGCACGTGCGGGCGCGTGCAATGAGTAAAATGACTGATATATTTAATATGGTTGTAACTTTTATATTTTTTGATAAAATGTTTTGAAACTCATTATATAAAGATATATAAGTAGTGTAGATAAGATGACATGGTCAAATTTGCATGAACTAACGCGCATGCACGTGCGCTTTGCTCTGATTGGCTGAAACAGAAATCTTAATATCTTTTTTGTTTTATGATGAAATGCTTTGAAATTTATAACATAGACATGCATTAGGATGTACTACAAAATGATATATAAAATTTTTCATGAAATCACGCGCATGCACGTGCGCTGCAATCTGATTGGCTGAAACTTTAAATGAGTATAACTCCCTTGATTTTCAACTAAACAGCACGGGATTTAGAACATAGATAGACATAATGGACTCCTACAGGATGGTATGGTCACCATTCACATGCATGCACGTGCGTGCACGTGCGCTTTGCTCTGATTGGCTGAAACAAAAATCTCAATATCTTTTCTGATTTTTTACAAAATGGTTTGAAATTTAAAACGTAGGCATACTTTAAGATGTCCTACAATATGATATATAATAATTGTCATGAAAATACGCGCATGCACGTGCGCTGCGATCTGATTGGCTTAATCTTTAAATGGCTATAACTCCCTTGTTTTTCAACCAAACAGGATGGGATTAAGAACAAAGACAGACATAATGGACATCTACAAGAATGTATGGTCATCATGCACCTGCGTGCACTTGCAAATGAGTAAAATAGTGTAGACAAGATGATATCGGCATTACGCTCATGCAATCACATGCGCACGCCTACATTGCTTGGTATACTTGTGGGAAAACGTTGTTTACGTCTTAAATGCATAGATTTTGCCTTTTTTAATGAAACTTACAGGGAATATGGCATGAGAAGGGAGTTGGGGAGCGTTTGGGGAACATCTGTAACGGTTCCCGTTACAATTAGCACTAGTTTTATATGAATGACAAAATTATACAAAAAAAATTATTTTTATTACTTCACAATCTTTTCCCAAATAAACATCTTACATAGACTTAACATCCGTACTTAAAAAAAATCAACGTAAACAAATTAATAATTTGTAACTCCAAAACCTTATCTTGGTTTGTATATAAGAAAATATTTGTTTAGACCTTATAAACAAACCAGACGAAAAATTTTCCAAAAAAAAAAATCCATCCTTTGTAATACCTATTACAATTTTCACTGGGAACCTAGTTGTCTTAATATTGAAAAAAAAACATTGTATACGAATACGATTTGGCTGTCTAGATGCAATGCCTTTCTATTCTCACAGTGAATCTAGCCAGCTGTCCGACATGTCCTAATAGATACATCAGATACACGGTACACTTACACAATGACTGATAAGGTGCAAAGACTACAGACACCCACAGAGCACGTCTCCTAATATACAGGGTACATTATATACAGATACATCTGTTGACCAAAGTGCAATGAGGGTAAACACTCATAGGACACACGTCCTAACACATAAGGCTCACAGTGTACATATCACATTTTATTTTTGGAATTCAAAATTCTTTCATTCTAATAAGAAAATATTTTGTACGTTTTCAAATGATTCATCATTTAATAATTCTGTTGTCTCCAATACTTCATTTGAGCTTTTATCTGGACGGGAATTCTTGCTCATATGCTGGTCATGGATACAGGACTAACATGTAACTTATGGGTCATCTTGTTTGGAATGTAACACATAACTATCTGCATGAGAAGAAACACTTGGTAATGTGTCCATGTTCTGCTGTTTTTTACGCACCAAAAGTGAAATTGTCTCAAGTGAATCATAGACATTTTCATTATAATTTTCATCATCTTCATTATCTTCCACTGTCTGGACATTCAGAGGGGGTGACATGTGTAAACCAAGAATCTACCTCTTTCTCTCTGGTATTATTAATATACACGTATATAACTAAATATTAATGTATAAATTTTATTGAAAGTATGGGCATTCCAGGTTATGTCAAATGGAGAAATTCTCATTTAAATTATGGGCTTCAAAATTAAAATCTTTTAAAAAGTCTTTTCGCTCAGTACCTCATCAATACTTACACATACTGATACAGAAAATACCAATACAATAATTTAATAGGCTCATAAATCAGGCTAGTCACAAATATCAATAAACACATTTTGAACACTATTGGTCTGTTGAAGAGATTCAGCGCTACGGTTTCCTTGTCCAGTAACGGCTTCTTCATATTCTGCATTTGTCTGTAGTGCATCATAACTGTTTTGTTCATCAGCGGTCTCATTACTGAAACCAGTAGATTGATCATATATTTGTATGGATGGAGGGCGAGTATGGAAGCTAAAGATAAAGAAATATTGAAATAATGTTCGTGTTAAGTAAAACCAATATTCTTTATCGTGTTTATGTTTTTATTAACCCTTTTTAACCGAATAAACGTATTAATTCTTCTTAAAACTATTTCAGAGAAGGTTGATTTCAAGCAGAATCATTAATTACTTTAATTTGGTTTCTTTCTCGGGACCCAAACTCTAATGTTTGAAGGGTTCAAAGCATTCAAACACAGTTTAAGGCTTTGAACAGCTCCGATATTTTAAGATTAGAAAAGTTACTCTTATGTCCTTACAAAAAAGTTTATGAGAGTTCATCTCGGACAAAAATATAGCATACCATTTTTTTCGTTTCAAATATCCAATTATCCCAACGATAGCAAAAATTACGGTAAATAGTCCTAACGATGCAAGGATGATATTTCCGCTATGGATAGTTACATGTACATGTGCGTCATCTGCTATTGATAAAACCTAGCAATCGTTTATCTTATAACTAATTGCTTGTACAGATTTTATATTCAAATTGAAAGGTCAAAGGTTAAGCTGAAAGACACGGAATCATTAGTCGGAAAGCTAAATCTTCTTTTCCAAGGCTATCGGGGGTTAGAAGGGCATTCAACAGAAGATTTGAAGATTTTATGATTCTATGATTGGCATCTTATCTTGTTCCAATAGACACATTACAATATCTATGGCACTGAAAGAAGATATGTTGTGTAGGTTCATTTTTAGACAATTTCAATGTTGTGGCTTTCTTTCCATGTTCGGAATGGGTCAATTCAAGAGCAATCCAGCTATTCACAGATAGGGAAACACTTGGTTGTGTATGCTACTTTTAAGGAAGGTGGATTATGATGATTGGACTTTAGAATGGGAAAATCAGGATATCATCAGGGTTACAACACTTCTGACATTTGTCCCCCATAGTATTGTTAATTATGGTCTGGGGGAGGAACTGATTTGAAATAAGGTTCCATATACCAATAGCATAGAGAAGGTTCTATACCGATAGTAAGCATTCTGAACACTCAGTCATCAAGGTCTCGAA